GCGGACTCCACTCCGTAAGGTCAGCCCAAACCGCTCGTGGGTCCAAAAAACTGCGTCGAGTACTCAGCGAAGACACTGTTGCGAAGACAGTGTTGTGAGACCCCAGTGCGGACTGAGACGGCCCTTTAAACATTCCAGTTCGGCGACGGTTGCTCGTGCAGAACTGCGCGATGGACGTAAAGACGGACAGTGCGAAGAAGTCGTGCAGAAGTCACGACAGATGGCACAAGGTAGCAGTTATGGAATAATATTGAATAGAATATAAACATAACAGAATATTCAGCAGAATATAGCAAGTTGCAGTTCAAAAACTTAATTCTCGCGCGCGCAACCCTGCAACTATCCGAACGGGGACGGAGCGAACAGCGTTGGCAAAGCGCTGGCAGGCGCGCATGTTGAAATTGCCGAAGTCGATTTGCGAAAAAATGGCGTCGTTACTACCCAGTGACTGCAAGCCGATTCACGATAGGCGTACTTCAGTTCGCTGAAGAAGGTACTGAACACCGAAATGTACGAGAACATACCAGGAACAGTTACGACCTGTTAGTTGAGCTATTTACTCATTCAGATTTACGACAAGTAGTCAAACGGAAGCGTCCAAGTTATGGTAAACCCCCACCGCACCGCAATCACCGTTCGACTGTGTTGAACAAATGGCGCCTCAGCACTTAGGCGTTAGCTACGGTGACCACCGTCGGTCCGCAATCACACCGGCTACTCGAAGTATTTAGTTTTCAATTAGTTCTACTTAGTTCCTGGTCTCAATGGACGGATGGAAGTTTTCGAGTCGAAAATCGACGAGCTGATTGACTTGCGTGATGGTTTTTTCGAGAAGTATCCCAATGGTACCGAAGCTGAACGGGTAAAAACGGTCAGGGAGAGAGCCTTGCTGCTTTTAGAGGTATGTTAGTATTCTGGTTCGGCAGCGTTTCTGAGGAGTGTTGGTTCACAATAACAGACTTCATTTAATTCAAATATGCTGTGTTTTCAGGATGTTCCATTGTCCGGATTTCCTCGGTCCGCTGTCAGATATCTCCAGTGTGGACGTATTTTGAACGCTTGTGTTGCTTACGACCCACGTTGCGAGGAACTTCTGAGTAAAGCTGTGAAACTCGGTAGTCCTGTTGGAAAGTCCTTCAAAACATACCCCCACTTTCGTCTACGTTCTGGAGTCAGACCTTCAGATCCTGATGCGTTGGCATGGCTTGAACTGGGGATCTGCCTCTCTAAAAAGCCGGATGTACAGTTCGCTATTGAGTGTGTCGAGGTACAAATTATGCTTATTCAAACCTTAATCAAAGCAAGTTTACAGTAGATCCGCAGTCATTCGGGTTTTCAGAGGCGTTGGCAATAGCATGATGGTCCCTCCACCGGATGGCCGCGCCATAAAAAGTAACCTCGTCATCCGGGCAGTTGATTAGGGCGGTCGTCAACGGGCCGCAGCGCGTGCCAGGAACTATTTGCTTTTTCCAGGCTAATTTAGTCATTTTTTCCACCTTGTGAAGATAAGGAGCTGCTAATCTGGGAAAAAGTAGCCAAAACAGTGAAAAGTTGGAAAAAATGACTAAATTAGCCTGGAAAAAGCAAATAGTTCCTGGCACGCGCTGCGGCCCGTTGACGACCGCCCTAATCAACTGCCCGGATGACGAGGTTATCATGTGGAGCGGTGGGGTGGTGATTAGTCTAGGCGGAGACACAGGGATTTGTGTCGTCTATGTTTGTCTAATCTTGGTGAGCTTAACAGTGCGCACACCACCAAAGTTCCTAAACAGTCGCGCTGCAAGTTGCCCCCCAAGTTAGGCGTCGAGTACGGATACCGCATTACTTCCGCAGCTTGATGTACGATCATTTGGTTGCATTGCTTCCTTTCCAATGTACGAAATGGTATTCACTCAGTTTCGAACGGGAGGTGGATTTTCCGAAAGCGATGGCCTTTCACGGGGTCAGATTCAAACCACTATAGCTAGTTGTGTCTACGTAAGAATTAGCTTTGTAAAACTATTACTGGAACGAGGAAAACGTATGTTCATCAAAGAGATTCAAGAAATCTTCGAAATTTTCAGCGCAGCCTTGAACTCGAACATACGTCCCGAGCATTGTACACCCTCTCTATGCTGTTACGAGCTAAGCTCATGAAAACTGTTGATCCAGTTGAAAGATCCGCACTTCAGTAAGTTACTTATTTGAATGTTGATAAAAATTCAAGCAATTATTCTCTCCGTCTTATGTGAAAAAATAGTGTATTTCTATTAAACTCTCCGTAACTACAAGCTCAACATGACAAAATCGTCGTTACGGCTATTTCGTCGATTATGCGGTTAATGGAACTGATGCCCCTGTGACATGGGGCGTTTCGTTACTTGGCGGCCTATTTGAAGCCTCAAAGAGAATACATATATGTCGGTGGAAATTAGCAATGACGCGCCTCAGTGGTATATTACAATGGTGAATTCTTTTGAAATCAACGGGAAAACGCACCCTCGGTGCGAAAAGATGAATGTTCTGTCCTCAATCAGAGCACTGAATGATATCTATTTCCTTGACATTTTGGTGTTGTCAGTGTGGAGTAATTCGGCTTTCCATTTTACCATTTTTGCTTTTTTCCCTTATTATTCTTTTTGGTTATTCATGAAGGTGAAGAATTGCCCCTTCTTCTACCTTCCTAATTGAGAGGCTAGCACAATTCATCTGTGTGTTCATAGATCTACAGAAAAAAAACAGATGGAGTTAGAACGTACGCCATAAGAAATCGAAGTTCCTTTTTGAATCATAGAATTATGCCTCTTAGTGCGGCTTCGTATATTTTACACTGTTATTAATGTGACTCCAAAGCGACGGTAACTTTGGGTAAGGCAAAACATCATTCATTGGGTCGTTGAGACGTAATCTGCCTCACGCAGATTATAATTTTAATATGTTAGCATTCCCCAATGACATAGCTTACTATTCGTTAGTTATGTTTTATGTTTCTTTTTCAGAAAGCAGTCCTCACAGTTAGCGCTTGAAGCTGTAACGCTCGATCCAAGCTCTGGCCTAGCCCATTGCTGTTTAGGAAATTCACTTTTCCTGGAGTTCTTCAATACAGGACAAGTAAACGAAGATTTGCTGGTTAGTTTGAGTAGGTTTCATATTCCATTCAGGCGTAGAAGATTGATTTGATGCCAATAATCCACTGCTGTCAAATTTTTACCCTTTTTTAATCCGTGTTTGAAATCGAAAAATGAAAAGGTATTGCTCATTGAAAGCTTTAACCGTACAAACATTCTTTAAGAAACAAGCTTGCAATGAATATCGTCTTGCTCTTCAATGTGGGAAGGAGTATCGCAACGCTGATCTGCATCTCAATGCGGGGGCGGCCTTCCGGTATGCTCTTTTCATTTGCATTGGTTTCATTTTTTGTGTTTCTTTGTTTCTTTTTCAAGTTTTTGGTTTTTTTTCTCACAATCACTGTAGCCTAACTTTCAATGTCTTTACGAAATTTCGAGTTTTCATAATGCTCTTTGTTTATCGTTGTTTATCCTTTTTGCATTTTTCCTATAACAGTACCTCCATCATCTACGGTGTCGACAGCATCGAAAATTTTGGATGTCTCACAACAAAAGCATCTCCTGATTGTGTCGTGACGTCTAGAAATGACACTGGAACCCGCCTAAGTCCGGCTTTATTAGAGATGAGTAGAATTTCGGGGCGAAAATGGTTTACGCGGGTGCAACCCATTGGAAGCCATGCCACTTCATGTTTTCTTTTGTGTGCCTTGTCTGGCCTTCTTTAGTCACGTTTTGTGAAGCCTTGTGATAGGTATATACGCCACTTTCCTGTTCTGTGACAAGGCGCCAGCTAGCAGACATGACTTGTGGTAGTCTTCCCCCATCCCCCTTCCCATCCTATCTTTGCCTTGATTTTTTTCGAGGGACACTGCTCCGCGCTATTCATAAGGGAACGGCGATTGGTCGGAGTGGCCTCTGAAATGAAATGTATACTGAGAAACTCTGCCCTGGGCGGTGATCACCAATCCGTCTTCAATGCATTTCCTCTTTGCTTTTTCGATAAAGCTCTTTGTGCACATTATAGACAGTTTTGTATGGTTAGAGAACTGTATTTCAACGAAAGCAAATGTTTCTGGAGAAGGAAAACCCAGTCATGAGCATTTTGAGCCGCTAATTTCTTCAATACTCATTCATAACTTGAGAAGTCTTTAGGAACTTGTACTTTTTTGTATAAGCACTCAATATCCTGATCATGAACACGACTTCGGCATCAAAAAACGAATGCCGTATTCGCGCCCAGTTCGCCGAGTAATTACTACGTGTAACCGATGGGCAATGGAACTTAACGGTGCCAAAGTGGAGCCAAAGGCTGTGGGACCGAGAAAGGGCTTCATATTCATGAATAGAAACATCAATTACACCCATTGATGGAGCTGCAACGGAAGAGTTTTCTGCTCGTAGAGTTCTCTTACTGGGTCGATATCGAACCAGGGCACATCATTGGTTGGGGATTTTAGTCGAGTCCATACGACCCTCCCCCTCCTTCTTTTTTGGGGTTGGTGAGGACCCCTCGTCCGCCCTCTGTCTCTCCCAATCGAATCGAGCGCGTTGGCGGGGGGGAATATATACCACGCATGAAAACAGGAAAAGCACGAAAAGTCAACCACCACTCCTAGCTCCTAGAAGGCCAAAAAGGAAATACGACCCCCTCCTCTCGACAGTGAGCAAGTACGACTCCCCCCCCCTTTACAACGTCCGTGAGGCGAGAAAAATCACTATCAAAATAAATTTTCTCAGTCCCAAATACGACCCCCTCTCCTGGCGGCCAAATACGACCCTCCCCCTGTTGAGGCACTATGCCGATAGCTGCTCTGTATCGAACATTCTCATAACTACTAGTACCAATTGAAGTATAATTTCGTTTCCCAGGTTATTTCGACCTGGTCGCGAACAGTGCACCCCTCTGGCAGTAAAATTGGCGTTGAATGACGCTGACCGCATGTCATCCTGCATTAACTCCTGTTCAACTTTTCGAGGCGTTAGGGCAGGACAAACTGCGGAATCGATGAGGTGTCTTCGTCCTTTTTCTTGAATACCTCAAAGTTCTAAAATGCTCCTCATGAATGTTTCACAGCACTATAGAACAGATTGATAAGACAGGTCATGAGCAGAAATGGAAGACGGTTCCTGATCACCGCTCCTTCAATCAGTGTCCATTTAATTAAAAAGAGCCACCTCGGCCTGCCATATTTTCCTTGTCGAGTTCGCTCATGTACTTACGACTGCGGGGTCCAGGCCTAAAGATTATGCGGAAACAAGCGTTTTCCGTGCTCAACGTAGTAACAGCCAGTACGATCTAGTAGCCACTGTCATTTTGAATTAACTGTAACTGGTAAAAGTGTTGTTTGTTGAGGTCCGGTGATATTTTTTTCGCGTTTGACAGCCTTGCGCGTGGTTTTCAAATATGAAGAGAACTATGCAGAAGCATTAAACACGGATCTTCGTTAGCGGTGAGTACGATCAAGGACGTCATCTGGATCTCACGATCGTTTAGTCATTCATTCACACAGTTTCTGACAAGTGTGACTTCAGGCATTCACACTGCAGGTGGTTAAATACTTATATTTCAAGGATTTGTTGTTTGCTAAGTAAAGAATATTAAGAACACATGACGACCGCGTTTCGCATCCAAAGCGCGCATTGTAGGCCGCGTGGGACCGCGCGAATTGCATTCGAATCACGATCAACAAACATATGTCTTTCACTATCGCACGGTTTTTTGTTCAGTTTCCCATATTCATACTATAGTTCAATCCTCAAGTTACTCGCATAACGCGTGGTCCATGAAATAGTTTAGAACTCACTAGTTTAGCAAAGACTCCCTGGGATAGAATACCCTTTGCTTCGATTGATTTGCTCTTCAATCATTTACTCACAAATATGAACAAATACAATATTAGTAATGATGAAAAATGTAATGAGGGATCACTTTCTTATAGAAGGCACGACCTGTGTTTCTTGTGGAAACATTGGACACAGAAAAATCACTACCAAAGTTCCTAGCCATTTCCATGAGCCTGAATAAGTGTCTTCTTGAGCGGTCCTTTGCGAATCTTCTAGTATTTGAGTTGACTTACTTTATACTTGCTCTCCAAATCAGATTTTCTGATCCAACCTCTGAAAAAGGGCGCCTCGTGGGACCGCGTGAATTGTATGCGTCTCGCGCCTGTCGCGTTCGAAAAAGCGCGCGTGTCCCACGCGGCCGAAAAGTAAAAACCCGCGCTGTCGTCAACGTGTTAAATCCCAAACATTGACCAGAATAGATGCCTCAGCATGAATATTGTGCTTCTAACCCTCAAATGAATCGTGCTACGTTTCATTCGCTGCGGATGAAGGAGCATATCAGGCGGGATGGGTTTGGCAGGGCCAAGCTCGTTTTTCTCGTTGTTGAAGCTCGCAAGCGACAAGATTGTATCATATCGTTCGTTTCGGACGTTTTCCACTGATTGTTGTCGGTACCTCGCCACACCCATCCCACCTGACATGCCCCTTCATCCGTAGAGAACGAGACTAGAGTTCGGCCGTAGTCTTTCTGCTCTGCGGGACAAACTGAAGTGAACATGGTACTGCATGTTCTTCAACCATCCTTAGGCTCATCCAATATCCATTTTGGAGGCATGATGTGAGGAGGGGGAGCAATGTCATTTAGCCTTGGGCAGTAGGCAACAACTAGAAGGCATGGGAAAGACTTTCTGGGAGATTAGGTGCCATTATCAGTCACAAACTAGAGGCGTTGAAGGAACTACCTGTGCATGCGGCTCCGGCTCTGTGACGATCTTGACAAATCCAGCTTACCGCGCGCGCGTCCCTGCTTGCAAAGCCACAATCCTCATTTTCTGCCCTCACGGTCCTTGCTGTCGCAGTCGAGCAAGAAGTTTAGAAGCGGCTATGATCGTCGTGACATTGTGATAGTACGGCTTATAGTGCTAGCTTCTAAGTTGTTTTTTCACTCCTGTT